AAAAACACTCAGGAATATATCATCATCTAAACAACCCAAGGGGACATTCTGCAAGCCTGAGTCCAAGGTATTCTTGATCATCTTTAATTCATTAATGAATTCACCCAGTGAACATTTCTGGAGCGCTTAGTATGTGCTCAACACAGTGGGGCCTACTAGGATGAATGTGTCCCCATCTCTTCCTCTAAGTGCATCACACTTTAGTGGTGATCTTAATCACCGTTCAAGACAGATGCCAATTGGCAAGCCTGAACACTGTCCCTTAAGTAGTCACCAAAATGTCAGCATGATAGAATGACTTCAATGCCTCCAGCTCAACAGAAGTTGGAGGAAGTATAAGGAGGCAATTGTAAGAAAAAGTTCCCAAATAGAGTGTATTTCACAATGCCACAGAGCTGCACTTCCGCTGACTTTGAAAGTTTTGGTTTTCATATTACTAACTGTAAGAGAATTTGTTTCTATTTCTTATTAAGCCAATTGAAAAGAAAATAGAGATAGGAAATTTCCCCTGACTTGAGTGAAGGTTTGCAACCTGTTAACATTGTAAAAGTCTTTAGAGAATTAATTCAAGTCTTGCTTTGAGATCATTCAGTGGACAGTGAGTTATTTCTAGCAGTGCTTCCAAACTCCAGAGGAGATGGATTGGGACAGGAGTTTAAAAAAAAAAAAATATATATATATATATATATATAATACAATACCTTATACAAATAAGTATTTGACAACTATATTTTTAGGAAGAGTCTAGGCGCAATAATGATAGGGTCCCTGGTGGCACAGTGGCTAAAGTGCTTGACTGGAAATCAAAGGTTGAATAGTCTAATCTACCAGTCATTCCATGAGAAAAAGATGTGGCAATCTGCTTCTATAAAAAATGTGTAGCCTTCAAAACCCTATCCTATAGGGCTGATTTGAGCTGGAATAGACTTGTTGGCTGTGGGTTTTATGTGGTTTTCTTGGTTGAGAAGTGATACCAAATGAAAGAAATAATAGCATTTGGTGGCAACCCTTACAATAATGAGAATAGATAGCCCTTCTGAGAAGTAAAAGAAAAAAGAATCACAAAGAAAAGAATTTTTCAGCATCTGAATTAATTCTCAAAACGATCTGCTAGTATAAAGGTGTGGTTTTTCCTAGAATTAGAGAGGCGTAGATTGAATCTCATCTCTGATGAAGACTGAGTGGCCTTAGACAAGTTAGTTAACCTTCCTTGTTTCAGTTTCCTCACCTGTAAAATGAGCCTAAAAATACCTGCCCCTTAGGATTGTTGTAAAGATAACACATAGAAAGCTCTTGGTACCAGGTAGGTTTGTTTAAAAATGACTGGGTTTTGTTGTTGTTGTTGTTTAATCACCCTTCTGTAACACTATAGGGTAAGCACTGGACTGCTAACCACAAGGTCAGTGGTTCAAGCGTACCAGCATCTCCTCAAAAACTCTACATAGCACTCAATGACACTTCAGAACAAAAAACAACTGCTTTGCCAAAATTTGCAAGTTAGTTTTGGGTTTTTTGTTTTGTATTTGGGAGGGGGAATTGTTTTGTTTTTGTTTCTGTTTTAAGAAAATAACTTAACATTTGTGTTTCAAACCCAGCCCAACCCACTGCCACTGAGTAGACGCCAACTTATAATGACCCTGTAGGAAAGTGTAGCTGGTGTGGCACTGTGGGTTTATAATGCACTGGACTGCAATGTCTGTTTGAATCTCAAGGTCGGGCATTCAAGCTCACCAGCTGCTCCTTGGAAATCCTACAGAGAGTCCCTATGTATCAGAATCAATTCAATGGTACTTAATGACAACAACAACAACATAGGAAAGAGTAGAACTGCTCCACAGGGTTTCTGGGGCTGCAAGTTTTTGCAGAAGCAGACTGCCTCGTCTTTTTCCATGGAGTGGTTGGTGAGTTCGAACCGCCACCCTTTCGGTTAGCAACCCAATGCTACAGTTTAATTCACAACCACATTTTCACACTAAGTATTTCTCCTTCCTAAATGGTCATCTACCTTACCTTTTGACAACAGTACAAAGGAGCTCTGGTAGCGTAGTGGTTACAAATTGGGCTGTGAACCATAAGGTCAGCAGTTCAAAACTACCAGCTGCTCTATGGGAGAAAGATGAGGCTTTCTGCTCCCGTGAAGATTTACAGCCTCGGAAACCCTGTTCAGGGTAGCTATGGGTCGGAACCGACTCAACGGCACTTAACAACAACAACAAAAGACAAGATCATTTGGAACACTCATAAAAAAAATGCTAAAACGTTTCAATTGATGAGTTGGTAATAATGATCTTATCATACAAGATCATTTTCTATAAAGGCAAAGTCATGTTCTGCCTTTCCTTCTTGTATGTGATTTTGAAAAGCAAAGTCAAAGTTTACCACACAGGCGCAAAAAATGAGACGTCATTTATTTATTCATTTAATCAAAATGCTTTCATTCAATAAATATTTACTTAGCATCTACAATGTGCCTGGACCTCCTCTAGACTCTAGGGATTGAGACAGGCAGACAAAAGCCCTGCCCTCAAGAAGCTTAGCCCCCCATTGATTGCCATACTGACTCAATGTCTTTCTCACTGAATAGTGATAGCATTTCTTGATTAAGTCATGGACTCTGACATAAAGGGGGTTCAGAAGTGCAAAAGGTATTATTCATGAATAGTGAAAAGAATTTGCTTCTCCAGAATTCCAATTTCTAATCCCAGTAGAACAAAATAAAAAATGAAAACAACCTATTGAAATGCATTCAGCTATTCTAAATCCCAAAAAATAGTCACCTATCTGACTATGAACAAGAAGTCCCATTGTTTCTGGACCAGCATTTTTTTTCCATATGTGGCCGAGTTCTTGAAATTTCCTGAAGGATGTTCACTGTTACATAGCATTTGAAACTTGAAAACAGACTGTAATTAAATTGTTTAAAATATGGGTTTAGCATATAAATCCTGCCTTACTTGAGCAAATTCAAATATCCCACAAACCTCAAGTTCTATGTTCACTAATAGCCTTAGGAACTTCTTTAGAATTCAGCTTCCTCTTCTAGAAGATTAAGACTTGGCCAACTGCTATTGCAAATAATTCAAAATCTCAATGTCCTAACATAGTAAAAGATTATTTCTTGCTAGCATCATAGTCCAATACTGGTTTGCAGGGTAACCCTGTTCTACCTCACTGATTGGAGAAACCCAGGTGTTTTTTCAATCACATGATTCCAGCATCTTCTAGTGTCGTGTCTTCCTCTGCATTTAGCTGACAGATGAAGGAGAGAAGGTATGGAGGACAGACAGCAGGAATTTTGTTTTGTAGACAAGAAGTGCTTGTGACTTCCATTCCTTCTATTCACATCCCAGTGGCCAGAACTCAGTCATGTGACCAAACCTACCTAACTGCAGAGTCTAGGAATGTAGTCTTGCTTCTGTGCTCTGGAGGAAGAGGAGATGAACTTTGGTGGACAGACTGCTCTGTGCAGACTTCTTTATAGTATTTAATTCAAAAGGTTGCTTGGAGAATTAAATGAGATAGTATATACGAGAGAGCTTCAAAAAAATTCATGGAAAAATGGAATTAAGGGAGAATGGAATTTTTCCATGAATTGTTTTGAAGCCCCTCTTATAGAAACTCATAGAAGTCTCTGTACCAATAGATACTAGCTCTGAGCTTTGATTACTGTACTCCCGACTAGTCTTAGGCTACCTCCTCCACTCAGCTCATCTTTGATGAACAGAGAAGGCCAGGTCAGTGATGCCTTTCTTTATTTTACCTGTAGGAGCAACAAAAAGTTGCTCACACTCTGTCTTCAACAGACTCTAGATCTTCACCAGGCATCTTTATCTACAATCATCTAGATATACTTTGTGCAATTGAGAGTAGTTGGCAAGTGGAAGAGTCCATCTTTTGAGTCACCTTTTGTAATTGTAACCTCATTTTATTATTCAATTTTGCCTAAAGTATGAGAGCTTAAGCCCTGAAGGAAGTGCGAAGTTACCAGATTGACTCATTCAGACCTGTTCTCCAAGTTGTTGTGGAGTGGTTCCTTTTAAACAATACACTCAGCATGTCAGCACCTGTTTAAAACCCTTCAACACTTGGTTGAATTTAGAATATAACATGAATACCTTATACAGGGTTGATTTTCCCCATCCCATAATTCCAGGATCAGCCTCCATCTCCCTTTCTCATTCCACTTCCTATCACTCACCCCCTCTCCTACTTCATTCATTTATTCATTCCTTCAATAGCACTTTACCTATCTTCTATTCTATTATGGGATGCAGTGATAAAGTCCCTGTCCTTGGTGGAAATTTAGTTACATGTTAGTGGGACTCTGGGCACAGATGCTCTTCTTGCACATCCTTTCCCTGCTTCCATGGCTTGATGCTTGCCTGGAACACTTCTTCTTCAGCTCTTACCTCACAAGTCTGTCTAGTGCATCTCCCTAGCCCAGGAGTTGTCTCTATCATAATGACCTGAAGTAGTCCTTCATGGCATTTATCAATCTCAAAAACCATTTGTCTCATTCATGTACATTCATCATCTGTCTACCTTTACTAGAATGTAAAGCAGAGAGCTTTTTTATTTTATTCAGTATTGTGTCTTCAACACTATAAGCCAAAATCCAAACCTACTGCTGTTGAGTCATTTCTGACTCCTAGTAACCCTGTAAACCCTATCCCACTTCCATTGTTGTTGGGTTAATTCAGACTCGTAGAGTTTCCAAGACTAACTCTTTATAGGAGCAGACAGCTTCAATTTTCTCTCAAAGAGCAGTTGGTGAGTTTGGTTAGTAGCCCAACGCTTAACACACAGTGCCACCGGGGATCTTTATAAACCCAGTAAGCCTGACAAAAAGCAGATGTTCAATAAATATCAATTGAATGAATGAACTAAGGAGCAGCACCTAAGACATCTGTGGCGATTCCAGATGTGAGCAAACTGTGAGCTCCAGTTTCCTTCCTGATAAGTTGTGTTCATCCCTGCTCTTTGTGATTATGGCTTTATAGGGAATGACACCACTTCACTGGGCAGCTTTCCACAACCAGCCTCAACATACCCAAATGCTGCTGAAGAAGGGAGCAGACCCCACTCTTGTGGATAAAGACTTTAAAACGGCTCTCCACTGGGCAGTCCAGGTGAGAAACTGGTTAGATTAAATGATATAAAACAATGTTAACAAGTCTCCAGCATTGGTTTCATAGAGCAAGGAAGATGCACTCTGTCCAGAGGGACAACTGCAAACTTGTCCATTTGGAGGGCTTGTTGAGAAGAAATCCTGCCAAGATACCGAGGGCGGTAATTCTGTAACATCAGGTGAAGCCTGCCTCCGTGGTTGTTAAATACACACACATCCATATGCACACACACACACAAACACAGACACCTCTGTTACTCTTGCTCTGGTCTCTCTTTCCATTGCTACAGGCTAATAGTGCCCCAGGGCAATCCTAAGAATCACTGGGAAAATCCCTTCCAAGTCTTTGTACTATGATTCTCGCCTTCCTTCCAAATCTTCCAAAGCAGGGCCAGTGGAGCTGGTCCTGAATTCTGTGCTGAAAAATGAAAAGAGTGGGCTTGTTATTCTACAACCCTGATAAAGAAGAGAGTCTTTAATATTAGACACAACCGAAGGGATCAGAAGAGGTCCGAGAAATCAATAGTCCAAAGAGGGTAAAACTGAGAATAAAGTGAAAGAATGATAGTAGCTCCCATGTGCTGAAGTGCTTTCTATTTTCAAGGGGAATTACTACTAAGAGTTATCTACTTCCTCCTTCAGGGAGAGCAGTAGTGTGCTTCCTTTCAACAGATGTGCTACCCATGTTGCTTCCGAATGGTTTCAACACAGGCCCGGCACTGTTGGTTTCATCAGCCCAGCAGAGACGTCCTTTCTGAACTGCTGCCAAGCTCCTGGGGGACTAGTTTCTGTCTGTGTGGTTTCACTCAGGTGTTTGTATGTGCCAAGCACAGCAGAGGCTGGCACCTGGGACTTTCAGGGTTGACATACAAGTCTGATGTGAGGGAAAAACAGAAGTGATTTAGAAACTGCTCTGTTTTTGTCCCTCCAATGTTGGTTTCATCTGCTCTTTACCAGGGCCAGTCCTAGGCAAAGCTTGTTTGTGCCATCTCCACCTGCCCTGAGCACCCTCCTACCTGCTTTCAGTGTCTAATCACCTTTCCTGTTCCCTCACTGCTAACCTTTGTTCCCAAGGTGCTAACCTCTGGCTGTTCAGTGGTCACTAGCATAACAGTGACCTCTTGGACTCCTAGGAAGTGCTCTAGGCTTCTTGGTTCTTAGTTGATGTAAGAGTGGTATCAGAATCAACTCTCTTCTGACTATTCACCCTGGTCACTGCTGAATTCTATGTCCATAGATTTGGGAGGAGGCCCATGTGTGTATTCTGAGAACTCGCCCTAGGGTAATTCTGACTCACATGCCATCTGTGCTCCCCCTTCCTCCGTGCCACCCTTAACCTAGAGCTGTTGCTGGAGATCAGAACCACCATTAGTGCTTGTACAATGACAGACTCCCAGGATCAGCTCCAGATCTGAGGTGGGTTTCCCAGGGATCAGAACCCCTCCAAGAGGCAAGCTGGCAAAGCCATAAGAAGAACATATTGAACTCAAGAGCTCTGGGTTTGCAATGACAGCTCTGGGTTTGATCTGAGAAAGTCATTAATATCTGCTTGGCTTAACTATTTTTTTATTTTTTGGTTTTTGAATGGCACCATGCATGAGAACGTCCTATATGACAGGCTGTGTAATTAGAAGAGATAATCATTTTTATTATGGTTCCTGACTTCCTCCATGAAACCTTAGCTATTGTACCTATATCATCGTATTGTTTCTCCCTAAGAAGTTTTAGCTGGCTACAGTGATTCTCAATCCTGTCTGCACATTAGAATCACATTAGAACTTTTAAAACAGATGCCAATGTCCCATCCCCTTAGATTCTGATTTAGAGTGGGGTCAGGCTTTGATATTTTTTAAGCCCCTCCTTCCCCCACCCCAACCTGGAGATTGTGATGTACAGCTAGGATTGAGAAGCACTGTGATAAATGGATTCATATTAATGGGTGCTAATCGGTGGTTCAAGCTCATCAGCTGCTCCTCGGAAACCCTATACAGGGTCGCTATGAGTCAGAACCAACTCGACGGCACTTAACAACAATACCTTATCTGGAGTCCTGGTGTGGTGCTGTGGGCTAATGCTTCAGACTGCAAAGCCGTTTGAACTGCAAGGTTGGTGGTTCAAGCTCACCAGGTGCTCCTTGGAAACCCTATACAAGGTCGCTATGGGTCAGAATCGACTTGATGGTACTTAACAACAACAACAACAATGCCTTATCTTGGAATCCTGATATGGCACTGTAAGATAAGCACTGAACTATTAACTGCAAGGTTGGCAGTTCAACCCTGCCAGGCACTCCTTGGAAACCTTCTACAGAGTCACTATGGGTTGGAATTGACGCTGTGACACTTAACAATAACAATCACAAATACCTTATCTACAAGGATCCCTGGTGACACAGTGGATTAAGTGTTGGATATGAAAGAAAGATGAGGCAGTTTCTTTCCATACAGATTTACAGTCTGAGAAATCCTCTGGAATAGTTGTTGTTGTTGTTAAGTACCATGGAGTTGGTTCCGACTCATAGCAAGCCTGTACAGGGTTTCCGAGGCTGCAAATCCTTACAGGAGCAGAAAGTCTCATCTTTCTCCCACGGAACAGCTGGTAGTTTTGAACTGCTGACTTTGAGGTTAGCAGCCCGAATCGTAACCACTATGCTACCAGAGCTCTGGAATAGTTGTACTCTATCCTAAAAGTTCCTACAAGTTGCAATCTGCTTGACAGCCGTGAGGTTGAATTAACAACTTATCTAGAGGAACCCTGGTGGCACAATGGTTAAGTACTGACTAGTAACTGAAAGGATGGTAGCTTAAACTCATTAACCACTCAATCTGAGAAAGACATGGCAGTCGCTTCTGTAAAACTTTATAAATCTGGGAACCCTTTGGGAAGTTCTATTCTGCCCCATAAAATCACTGTGGGTCAAAATCTAGTCAACAACAATGAGTAAGCCAGTGTACTCTTACCTTTGATAATCTGTAAGTTGATCATTATTCTGTATAAGTACAATGTCTCACTTATTTATTTATGCAATAGGGGTACAGTCATTAATGAGACAGGTCCCGTCTAGATTTTTGTGGGAAAGGAGTCCACATCATTCTTCAATTACTCAATAAGGATCGGTGATAGAAATTATAGCTCTGGAGGAATCCTGAATTTTCTAACTTTCTTGTTGTTTAGCAGTAAATTCAAGCATAGTGTATTCGAGATTGAACATTGCAGAAAAGACTAAGGCTAATTTCCAATGTCACTTGGAATCATTATGATAGTTGCCTTCTTTAACCTTTTTGTTTGTTTGTAACACAGGACAAGCTAAAAAGCTCTTTTTAAAGCTTTTTCACATAATTGTCATTTATTCCTTTCACAGAACTAATTTTATCTTGGACTCTATAGTGAGATCGCATTTAAGTCTAAAACATTTAAAAATAATAAATCCTCTGTACCTGGCATACATAGCCAAAGCAGTAAAGATCTGAAATACTGTACTTAAAAATAAATGAAGTTTGATGGCTACCATTTCTCAGATCCCTTAATATCTGGTGAACCTCTGCATTGCACCCATAATCATTTTTTACCCCATCCCATCCAAAGAAGAGACCTCACTGATTGGTTCTACCTGAGCTTCCAACACTGAGAAGAGCCCCTCTCCCTATCAATCTCTCTATTTGACATCTAAGTCTTGTAAAAGTGTGTTCTTGCCAGCTGTGATGACGCCAGTTCACTAGTTAATCAGAAGTCTCATAGCGCTTTTTTCTCTCTCTCTGTGCCTCATTTCCCTTCCACAACACTGCAAAAGTTTAAGCAAAAATTGTTTAATCAATTTCTTTGCCTTCAACTACCATATAACTCAGAAGATTCTCAGATCAAAAGACCAAACTCCAACCTCTCTCTTGAACTCTGGACCTACATTTCTAGCTCCAATGAAATCTCCCCCACAATATCGATTGACACTCAGTGCATGTTAACTGAATCTATGGTCTCTCTTTCCCATGGTATTCCCACCCTCCTAGTAACTCAAGCCAAAGACTCCAGGCTCTATAACTAATCCTTCCTTATCAATCCTTACATCTAGTTGGTTATCAAGACCTCTCAATTCTACCTCTTTATATCTCTCATCAGGAGCTCTGGTAGTGTAGTGGCTAATCTCACAGTAAGCTGTTCAAAACTACCAGCTGTTTGTGGGGGAGAAAGATGAGGTGTTCTGCTCCCATAAAGATCTAAAGCCTCAGAAACCCTGTACAGGGTCGCTGAGTCGGAACTGACTCCACGGCACATAACAACAACAACAACAACAATATCTTTCATCTCTGTCTCCCCCTTCCTGTCTTTACTGTATAGGTCAAAGTCCCATCAGGAAACAGATGGTACATTTCAATCAAGGCAAATGTAGATTCATAAAGAGGCTATTTTCACAGATGTGAGCAGGATTTAAGGACAATTTATGACTAGCAATAGCAGGTTATTATTAGTGCATATGGGCCTAAAAGTTCACGGAAGGGAGCTGTTAGGAAGACGCAACAAGAGCAATAATGGTAGAAGAAGCCACCCAGACAAGCTATAGTCTTCAGTAAAAGAATCTGCTATTACCAAAATGTAGCCTAGCAGAGAGAAAACAGTGAATAAATATCCCAATCTCTCTTCCTACATCCATTCTCTTTCAGTGTCTTCCATTGAACAAACCCAACCAGAAGCCAAAAGGCAAGAGATACAATTTGATTCAGTCCATAGGATGCTAAAGGATAAAAAGTAGGATAGAAAAGCATGGAGCATAACCCTGAGGGGGCAACTGGAGACAATTTAGCATACGCATTATCACTTTCTTAGATCAAGCTCCACCATCTTTATTTGAACAGTTGTGTAACTAGTATTCCTACTTTGAATTATTCCCCTCTCCAATCTCTTCATATCACAGCATACCATTCCTGTCACCAATGTGACAACTTACAAATCAATATACTCTTGGAGCAGTTGTTACACCAAAACAGTTAAGATCTCTGAGACTGTTGG